AAATCCTTGCCTATTCTAAGATGGTGAAAATTTTTTTCGTGTTTTTTTCTAGCTTTATGGTTTTAGCATTAGTACTTTGGTCTATAATTCATCTCAGTTTTTGTGTGTGGTATCAGGTGAACGTTAAGATTCACTTTTCCATATGGCTATCCAGTTGTTCCAGTGTCTTTATTGAAACAGACTTGGCTTTCCCCACGAAATATGCAGCATTTATTGCAAATCAGTTACCATATATGTGATTCTAGTCTTGGACTATATATCCTATTGCTTTGAAATATTTATTCTAGTGCTGCTGTAAGGATTTCTTAATTATTAAAATTTTAATGATATGCCTTGCAATCAGGTAATGTAAGTCTTTTTCTTCTTGCCTTGTCTAATTGATGTCCTTTTGTTTCCATATAAACTTAGAATTAGCTGGTATATATCTACAAATAAAGGTTACCAGTAGCTGGGTACCGTATCTCACTGGTTAGTGCACCAGTCCCGCATACCAAAGGTAGCAAATTCAAACCTCATCTGGGCCTCATTAACAAAAACAAATAAACAAAAAAGCTTGCCAGAACTTTGATTGGGTTTGGTTGAATCAGTACTCAATTTTAGAAAAATTGACATCTTAAAAATATTGAAACTTCTAGTCCATGAACATTGTACCTCTTTCTGTTCATTTAGCTCAGCTCTGTTTGGTAGTTTTCAGTATAGGCGTCTTCCAAATCTTTTGTGAAATTTATTCTAGGTTTTTGATGCTATTATAAATAGCATTTTTAAATATTATTTTTCAGTTGTTCATTGCAAACATTAAGAAATATAACTGATTGGCAGGCATATTGTATCCTAAAACCTACCAAAATTAAGTTATTAGTTCTAGTTAAATTCCTTTGGACTTTTTATGTACATAATCATCTTATCTGTGAATAAAGATAATTTTACTCATTTCTTGAACTCCTGGCCTCAAGCAGTCCTCAAGCCTCCCAAAGTGCTGGGATTCCAGGTGTTAGCCACTGCACTGCACTGGCCAATTCTACTCACTGCACTGCACTGGCCAATTCTACTTACTTGTAATCTTTATGTTCATTTCTCCTTCTCCTCCCTTTTCTTTCTCCCTCTTATATGTCCTTATTGTAATGACATGGACCTTCCGGAATGTTGAGTAGAAGAGGTAAGCATAGATATCATTGCCTTTTTAGATCCCTGGTAGAAAACATACTATTTCATCATTATTTAATGCCATATTTTTTTCCCTTTAAAATCTCATTAAGTTAAGGCAGTTCCTTTTATTCCCAGTATGCTGTGAATTTCTGTTCTGTTTGGTTGTTTAAATTATGAATGAGAGTTGAATTTTGTCTAATACTTAATCTGTATTTGTTAAGAAAGTCATATAGTTTTTCTTCTGTATTCCATTGATGGATTTATGAATGGTAAACCAACCTTGAGTTCCTGTAAAAAAAATTACACTTAGTCAAGATAAATCATCCCTTTCTATATGGTTGGATTTAATTTGCTAAATATTTGTAAACGATTTTTGCATCTTTGCTGAGGGATATTAGTCCATAGTTTCCTTATGTCAGCTCCTCCTGGATAATGATAGTCCTCATTCACTGTGGTACCCCGATCTCTTCCCCTCATGCTGGCCGCAGAAAAGGGATTTTAAGAATAAATATTGTAATTGTTGAGATAAGTCAAAAGACCTAGGATGGAGACCCACATTCATTAATTTAAATTATTTATAGTACTGATTAATTTCAATCATTAAGCAGCTATTTGCATTGTAACTGTGAGCCAGGTGCTCCTGTTCTTTTTTTGCTCACTTGGCTTCAGCCACTGTGGCTTTCTTCCTGTTGCAGAAGCATCCTAATTCCACTCCCGCCACAGGGCTATGCATGTGCTGCTCCTCGTCTTGGGATGTTCTTCCATCAGATGTCCTCAGAGCCTGGGTTCACTCCCGCACATCCGTTAGGTCTTCACTGCAGTGTTATCTTCTCCTTAAAGTACTTCCAGGTCATTTGATTTAATTGGAAGACCCCCCCCCATAAGAGTCCAGCTGTATTTTCACCTTAGCATTTTTACTACCCATCACATATTTTATGTTTATTCTCTTAAATTTCTAGTGAACTTTAAGTTCAGTGAAATTAGGGATTTTTGTATTATTCACTGCCTTGTCCCTAGTGAATAGAATAGCATCTATCACAATGCTACATATTTATAAATAAATAAATGAGTAAAAAAGTAAATGAATGTGAGAGTTACAAGGCAGACCCACTCCTTCCATGGACCTTACAATCTTCATAGCACAGGGAACAAAAAAAAAGAAAGAAATCCAAACCTGATAGGCACAAAAACTCTGTGGGTTGCCCGCAGGGTAGAAGTAGGTCCAGCCCAGCTAAGCCAAGCCAGTCCTCTCTGCGGGAAGTAGAAGGAAATAAGAACAATGCAATACCTTGGAAGCAGAGGGTTGAGAGTGAGGAGAACGAGGGCTGTCAGTGAGACCTTGTGCTTGTTGACAGGAACACTTACCGTCTCCGTTAAGAGTCATACACATCAGGACCCTCCAATTCCAAGTCTGGTGTCAGGAGGATACAGTCTGTGTGATATGCGTCATCTGCATATTGTAAGGAGAAAGAGAAGGACCTGGCGATGATTGTTGTTGAAAGCTCTGCTGGGTAGTCCCTAGGGGGGAGCATTGCGGAGCAATCCTGCTTCCCTGGAAGGCCCTTGACCTGTGTCCTACTGAGATCAACACCTCCTCTGTGGTGACAGCCAGCGTGTGCATTTCAGATCTCAGGCATCAGTCAGCCAATCAACTGTTCTCACATCCTTAGTTTGCCTGTTTCTGGGTTTGACAAGTGTTTTCCATTTTGGATCAACAGGTTCCATTTTTTGGGCCTCTGTTTGATGGAGCCATAGTGAGCGGGAAGCTGCTGCCAAGCCTCATCTGTGCCACGTGCATCAACGCCAGCAGGGCTGTGAAGTGCCTCATCCCACTCTACCAGAGCTTGTATCTTTTTGCTTTACATATGTAACTTATTAACCATCCCAGAATCCAGATTCCTGATGCTTTTTCACTGGAGGTAAGTATTAAAACCTAAGTTGAAAAAGGAAGAATTGTTTTCAATCTATGTTGAAAACAACACAATGTGATCTTCATACCATTTGTTAATTTATCTTAAATATAATGATTTTGTGGCACACTGAATTTAAGAAAAATTTGTTTTTATAATTTACTCACATAAGTTTTTGTGTAGGAAGCCATGATTATTATGAGATGCTCGCACATTTGTAGGTGTTTCCCCCAAGGTCAGTCTCTCCCTGCGTCCTCCCTGTCTGCTGCAGTCCACTGTGTATCGGGGGATTGGGGAGCAAAGTGACGGTCTCACTCAGTGCCTACCGGAAACCACAAGTGAGTGAAGTGACTCTAACAAATCAAGGGATGTGGTCGGTGCTCCCTGAGGAGTGTAGATGGAGTCCTGGAAGCTCAGAGGAGGAGGAATTGCGTCTGGTTGGGAGGCAGGAAGGCATTCCTAAAGAAGTTGGGTTTTGTGCTCATCGTTAAGAATAGCTAGAAATTCTTTTTGTAATTTCCCAAATATTTCCTTCTCTAGTTCCTGATTTTGTTCCTAAATACAAACAAAAAATCTCAGTTTTATAATTTTTTCCTCAAATATTAATTGGCATGCTGTAATACTTAAATCCAAGCATGACTTCGAATTATAAGAAAAAGAGATTAAGGTGAGTGTAATGATTAAAAACTTAATGGGAAGTGAGGTGATGCGAGTGGGTGGGGGGGATAGTTGAGAAATATACCATGTGAATAGATATAGTTCATGAAAAATACCTTTCATTAAAATTCCAGTTAACTTTGTCGACTTATATTTTGCCTTTAGATAAAAAAAAAAAAATACATATGCCATGTGGCAACTTGGAATTATCATAAAAATCAATAGTAGAAAGAGCTCTTGGGTCCCATCTGGTTGCTCCCCGGGCCCGAGGCAGCCTCCTTCCCTGCCCTGTGCTCTCCCTGCTTTGTCCAGGCTGGTGGTGAGTTTTTTGGAAATGGCATTCTTTCCAGTTTTTCTATAACACTTTAGATTTAATCCTATGGCTGGTGTCATTTCAGCCTTAAGCATGTAGGTTTTTACTTCCCATGCTGTTAGAAAGAGCTTCTCGGCAGAAATGAGAAAGACATACCCAGCAATTGGCTTGTCAGTTTGCATGTCGACTGGGAGAGGCTGGACGCTAGGCAGGGGTCAAGTATGTTGGACTGGGACGAAAAAGTTCTATTTTACAAATAAGAAAATTCTATTTTATATTAAGTCCATTGTGATTTTTGTCACATCGCCTTTTTCATTTATTGACTTCTCATTATAAAATACTTGCTTTGTTATTCCGTTTAATACTATTTTCTCAAGTAAGAATTAATATGGAACCATTGGAATAATCAGATTTACGGAAAAATAGTATTTTAGGAAGTTCAAAGGACAGTATTGAGCATCACTTTAAACTTTTTTTTAAGCAATCATGTCAGTACTAAAGTGGATACCAGCCAGGGCTACTGATGGTAATGTGGGTTAGTAAGTGGACTCAAAACCATTAAGTAGCCGATTGACATTGCAGAGGACAACTTAGTACAGAAACTTGGAAAAAGGAAGTAACAAAACCTAACACGTTGACCATTATAAGAATTTTAAATATTTTTTTACTTGCTGCTATTCAAGTAACTTCCATAAAACAAAAAAGAAATGTTATACATTAAAACCTGTGTGTTTACACACTCTATTCTTTAACTTCTGTCTGCAGAAGAACTAATATTCAGGCCAGTAAGGAAAAAGAAGATTTTAAAAATATTTTTGTTCTTTAAAAAATGACTAATTTATAAAACCATATGCACCCACCTGAGCTATTAATAATTGATTATCAAAAAACCCAGGTCAACATTTCTTTGGCAAAAGTCTAAACTCATTGATTATGTCATAGCTGGTTACCTGATGTCTAGAATTTGCTGCCACATTGAGATAAGTCTTAGATTTGAATTTAGAAAACCTGTGAATAACCTAACAAATCCTAATCAGGGGGGTCTGATGATACTTACTCATCTACCCAACAAATAGCTACTGTGGACTCACTGTCTGCTGGCTCCAGTGCTAAGAGCGGGGGCCACAGCAGGGCGTGCATGGTAGACACGGTTTGTGTTCAGGTGCGTCACAGGGAGGTCGGACACACTAGTGAGTACACGTGTGAATCGGGAGAAGCCCTGTATACAAACTAAATAGAGTTGCAGTGAGGAAGGGTCGGATGGGCAAAGACCTCTGAGGAGAGTGTTTAGGCTGAGTTGGAGGGAGGAGAGAGAAGCTGTCCTCAGCAGAGTGGTACAGGGGCTCAGTGCCCTCCAGTAGAGAATTTGTGCCTTTCAGGATTGTGTGCAAGTTCAAGTCCATCAGGGTGCCTGTGATGGGCCCACGGGCCAGAGTGCAGCAGAGGTGGTGGACGCCAGGCTTCCCCGACTGTTTCTCCTCATGCCCACTTTGGACATTCTCATCTTGGTGCCACACTTTGGCATAAACACTCAAGTCTGCCTGACAACAGGTGTGGCAGTTAGGGAGGGCGCATAGGCCTTATCACCAGAAGCCTATTTAAGCCCCCCAGAGGCTGAGATCAGCAGTACCTTGGGCACAGCTGGAGCTGGGGCAGCTCTGCAACTTGAACAAACCAATGCAGAAAGAAAACGCAGGTCTTCTTTTTCAAAAGCAGGAGAAAGCCCCCTTAAAGGTGCTAAAATATGTCTGTTCTTCTGCAGTGTCTCAACTTGTGGTTTTCTTTAAGATTCTATTCAGTGTCATTCTAACTAAAGAAATACTAAAAATTTAAATTATTAGCATTGAAGTCGTCACTCTTCTCCCACCAAGTACTAACCAGGCAGGCATGTCTCTGCTTAGCCTCTGAGATCCCACATGGGGCATGGTCAGGGTAGGATGCCGTAGACGTCATTCTTCTTTATATTGTGTAATGCCAGGTTAATACAAAGACAGAAGAATATCTAGCTCATATATAGAATGACCAAAATTATGCAATTTATATTTTGTAGCTTATGAATGTGTGTATCTTTTACTCTTATTAGAAGAATTGGAACAGCATATAAAACTTGGTATTTTTCTCTTTCATGTGTACACATTCTAGCTGCACTCTCTACCATCTGTCTGTTGATGACTAAGGAGGGACGGGCAAGGAAAGAGACTATGGGTCGCCCTGATTGTCCCTTTCCTTCTGTGTCATCATCGTCAGAGTAAGTGGTTGGCTGATACACACACAGGGAGGCCGCACCACGAAGAGAGGAGACATGCGGGAGGGTCCCCGGTCGTCCTTCATGCTCTTCAGGGCACTACTGCTTTCTGTACTCAAAGCAAGTTCCGGTGCAGACGGAGAGTGGCTCCTGAGAATTCAGCTCCCTTGAATTCTTAGTCATAGGCAAACACACTTCCTATGCAGGAGGACGGGTCACACCCCTGCAGCCCCTCCAAAAAGCCTCAGTACAAGACAGGGAACTCCATTCCTGGGTATTTGTTAGAGTTGATTCCTTTCCTGCAGCCTGGCAGGATATCCTTTGGCAAAATTGTATTGACATATGAACCAGGACCTGTTAGGGAGGCAGATTGTGTGCACAGCCCTAGAAGAAAAGTTCATCTAAGAGGCAGAAAATTTGAGAAAATTCCTCTTCTATGCCCCTGAGACACTAGGTACAGCAGTGAGTGCTGACAAAGGGAAGTTCTCTGTCAGCTCAGGCCATTTTATATGGGCAACCCTGTATCCCTGGTCTGTTTCTAGCATGTGGATGGTTGCCACACGGCTCCTTTCATCCAAATGTCACTCATTTCCTAAGTATCAGAATCACTATTCTATGAACAAAGAACATGTTCACACTTCTATAAATCTTTCAGAAAGAAGCACTTACTTTCTCATAGCGACCATACATAGCCAAACATTGAACTTGGTAACAAGGAGAAAAAACAATGGAATTACTTTGGGATAGTTATTCTTATCTACCTATCCTTTCCTGGCTAATGATTGATATTTAAATGCCTTAAAATAGTGTCAGCTGGGATTCAGTTTTATATAATATTTAACTAGAAGTAGAAATATGGACAGCTACATATTAATTTTGTCCAATAGTGTTCAGTAAAACAAACTTTCTGATTAAGCTGAATATGGGGGGCATTACTGGAGCAAATTTACAATTTACACTTTTGGGATCTTCTTTCTGAGCCATAAAACTAGCTTAGAATCAATATTAGAAGAGTTCTTATTTGTGGCACCTTTGACTAAATGATCAAACCATCAGAACTATGTGTCAAAGGCACACAGAAGACTGATCTTGTCTTATCTGATCCAAAAAATGTGAGCCCAGTGAGGTATGTTTGGAGAGTACCCTTGGTAACACGGCATCCTGGCCCCTTTGTCCTGCTGGGCTCTCCTGTGCCATCTTCATCAAGCAAAATCTATCAAGTGGGGCCTTCGTCCTGTGGCCACTGCTCTTGTGAGTGATGAGGCCAACTCACCTGCCATCTGCTTTTTTGTTCCTCACAGGCAATCAGTGGCCTATCCCTGTGCCTAGAGGGCTGTGAGCGGGAAGCAGGCCACATGTTTACAGTTCCCAAGCCAACTAAAGATTCCAAAACCAAACCATGGTCAGCTGATCGAAACTTCCAAAACCATCTGAGCTGGGGCTTTCATTGTCCACATCAGATAACTCAGGAAAAGGTTGCCACACAATATACAGAGTGCCAATTAGGAGGAGTTCACCCTGAATCACACAGATGGTGGCTTTCTAAGTAAATGTTCGCTTCAATAGAACAGTAGTCTCAATGGCCTCGCCATCTCTACTCTTTGTAACTATCAGCATCTGATGGCGAAAACTGAGCTGGCTCAGAGAAAGTAATTTTGTGCCTTATTCTTCACAAGTGAAATTTAGCTTCATTTTCATTTAACAGATATATGTGTAATACC